AATTTTCTGCCTTAGACATTCTGGACTGTTTTCATAACCCAAAGACACACTAAGTTTATCTGCCTTCCTTATCTACACTTATATGATGTACACTGCCTGGAACACTAAGCGCTGCTTTCTCCCGTGTGTTTGACACCCATTCTTTTTTAAAAATAATTAAATAAAAATTTATTCATATAGTTCTTTATTCAAAATTTTTTATTCATTTTACATACCAACCACAGATCCCCCTCTCATCCCTCCTCCCATTTCCCCCACTCTCATCCTCCCCCCCACCCCCATCCACTCCTCCAAAAGGGTAAGTCCTCCCATAGAGGGACAGCAAAGCCTGGTACATTCAGTTGAGGCAGGACCAAGCCACCACCACCCTTGCATCAAGGGTGGGCAAAATGTCCAGCCATAGATAATGGGATCCAGAAAGCCAGCTCATGCACCAGGGATAGATCCTGATCACACTGTCAGGGGCCCCTCAGACAGACCCAGCTACACAACTGTCTCCCATGTGTATAAGGTCTGGTCCAGTCCCATGCAGGCTCCACAGCTATCTGTCTAAAGTTCATGAGTTCCCATGAGCCTGGTTCAGTTGTCTCTGTAGATTTCCTCATCATGATCTTGATCCCTACACCCCTGCTCATATAATCCCTCTTCCTTCCCTTTAACTGGACTCCTGGAGTTTAGCCTGGTTGTGGATCTCTGCATCTGCTTCCATCAGTTACTGGATGAAGGCTCTGTGATGACAGGATATTCACCAATCTGATTACCAAGGTAGGCCAGTTCAGGCACCCTCACCACTATTGCTAGTAGTGTAGGCTGGGGTCATCCTTGTGGATTCCTGAGAACTTCCCTAGCACCAGGTTTCTCCCTATCCCCATGATGTCTCCCTCTATCATGGTATCTCTTTCATTGCTCTCCCACTCTGTCCCTCCCCCAGCTTTAACATCCCGTCCCCTTATGTTCTCACCCTCCATCCCCTACCCTCTATTGCCCCACCTCATCCCCAGTTTATGAATTGGGATCTCCTCTGTTTCCCCTTCCCAGAGTGATCCATGTGTCCCTCTTACGGTCCTCCTTGTTAGCTAGCTTCTCTGGAGCTGTGGGTTGTAGTCTTATTATCCATTGCTTTACATTTAGTATCCACTTATGAGTGAGTACATACCATTTTTGTCCTTCTGAGGCTGGGTTACCTCACTCAGGATGATATTTTCTAGTTCCATTCATTTGCCTGCAAATGACAACCGTTCTTGGCTGAGATGTCCTTCCCAGCTCCACACTCTGATGGCTCTGAGATCCAACTGCACATCTAGAGCTCATCACTTACCAGCTCAGTTATAAATAATTCTGCCTCATTTCCTGTAGTACGACAGCACTGTGAGGGCAAGGACATCAGATCATGACCAATGTTAAAGCCCATACACTGCAGCCAACATACACAATATGCGTTCCACGTTAGCGCTCCTGAATACTTTGGAGAACAATTAATCTTCCATGTTCCTTTTTGAACTTTGCTTCCTAAAGTAAGGATTATCCAAGGGTCTTCCCATGTATGGGATTGATTATAGCTTGAACTTCTGAGAAACTTCTTTAGGAGGCAAATTGCACAACATTCTTGAGAAATTTCCTGCATCCTTAAGTTTTTCTTTGATTTCAATTTAAAAAAGAACAGGTGTCTCTTTTGTTACAAAGTAATCTTTCGCCGGGCGGTGGTGGCGCACGCCTTTAATCCCAGCACTCGGGAGGCAGAGCCAGGCGGATCTCTGTGAGTTCGAGGCCAGCCTGGGCTACCAAGTGAGTCCCAGGAAAGGCGCAAAGCTACACAGAGAAACCCTGTCTCGAAAAACCAAAAAAAAAAAACAAAAAAACAAAAAAACAAAAAAAAACAAAAAAAAAACAAAGTAATCTTTCATGGTTTTCTTTTTTTCAGTGACTTTTACTGCAGCTATGAACACAACACCACAGAGAGAGAGAGAGGGGGGGGGGGGAGAGGGAGAGGGAGAGGGAGAGGGAGAGGGAGAGAGAGAGGGAGAGGGAGAGGGAGAGGGAGAGGGAGAGGGAGAGGGAGAGGGAGGGGAGGGGGAGAGGGAGAGGGAGAGGGAGGGAGGGAGGGAGGGAGTATTATGGTTTTCCTGTACAACTCAAATCTGAATCGATTCACTGGGTCTTTCACGTTTTCACTAGTTCCATTTCCCTACTTAACATTCCACCACAGGTCTGCTAACACGTTGAGTTCTATTAAATTATTTTCCTGCTCAAAGGAGAATTATTGTTTCCATGTTCAGAATCTGTCTTGCATAATCTTTCTGCTCCAAATTTGTGTTCTAACACTCAGCCTTTCTATTTTAATAATAGACACACTGATTTCCCTATATGATCTAGCTATTAAAATGCATGTAGTATACTCCTGGGGAGAGAGGTTCACGTCTATTTTTAGGGTGATCCGTAGGTATTGGTGCTGACCAACTTTTAGGTCACAAATGGCTTCTTATTTTAAGAAGCAGCCAGACTATGCATGTTAATGATGGAAACGTTGGTATTAATAGTTGGTCTAATTTGTTTTTTCTTCCTCTGCATTTAGACTAAATCTGTTCCCTGATGACAGAAAAAGAAGTATTTTAAAACACTACCCATCCCCATATTCACTACTTTATTCTCAGGCTCGAGAAGAGGGTTCTGGTATCCTATTAACTGTTTCCTGAATAACAATGCATTCTATATGTAAATTACATCTCCCATGATGCAACTGAGCTCGATTATATATAAATTGGCAGACTAGAACTGTAGATACTTTTATGTGTTTCTTCTCCACATCCTTCCCGTGGTTCCCTGCAAATCTTAAGAAAGTAGCTTAAGATAGAAAGTCAAATCAAGTTTACATCAGGCTATTGTCAATTGCAAGTGAGCATAGGAAGGTTCCCTATGCTGAGTCTATGTTATGGTTTGACAAATGGCTGTGTTTCTAGATTCAGCCTCATAGAACGCCTTGTCTTAGGCACAGTAGACAAAAACCTGATAGAATATAGTGTAGACAAGAAACCCACTGGTTCCATAGCTGTCTCTGAGGTAGGATGTGAGGACACCCTCATTCTGCTTATCTGAAAAAACAGCAGAAGGTTGGTAGAACGGTGTTCCGATCATGTGTTTGTGGGCAGCAGAGATCTGATTAGGCTGGTAGATTTCACCAGGAACACTGGACATCATGCCTGGTCTCTCATCTCAATATGAGGTAAGACCAGCAGCCTGGTCGTGAGCCAGGGCCCTGGAGATCTGGGCTGCTCCCAGATGTGGGCAGAACTGCACTCCCGGCTTCAGAGCATGACGAGACAGTTCCCAGGGTGCAGCTGAAATGCCAAGCCAGCGGTCAGTGCAACTGAGGTATCTGTCTAAGAAAGCCGTCAGAGCTAGAACCCAGAGATGAGGCCGGCATCAGGGAAAGGATGCAAACAACAGATCACGAACCTGAGGCCGACGCAGACCAAAGAAAGTGTGGGATTGGAGCAAAACAAAATCACAGGGAGACCTGAAGAACCACAGGGACAGGGACAACCAGGAACACCAGCGGCTTGGCGACAAGGTAAAAACTGGCACAAAGATGCCCCAAGGCAAGGGTCATTCTCTAGCACATTCTCCTGCACTCCTCTGACCCCAACTAAGCTGAGAATGTGTCCCAAGGGAGCAGTTTAGACAGATGGCTCAGACATCCATCCAGACAGATGGCCTGTGAGAGGAAGACAGCTCTTGTCTCCTTGGTTGATTCTCAAAACATACGGTGTTGATACAGAAAATCTGTACCCCTGATTCTTGGCAGAGAGGGACCACAAGTTCTAACCTTCCACTGTTCTTTTTTGTTTTAATCAAAAACCCAGTCGTGCCTTTAAAATACCTACCGAAGACCTGTCTACAGAAGTCCTAAAAGCCACACACTGCATACACCTGATGATACTTCAAATGTCACACCCGAATTACTTTCCGTTCTGTCTGTCTCCCTTTGTACCTTCCTATAACTGCACTCGGCCAGTGCTGCTAATTGCTCTTTCCCATTTGTATTATGCCATCATTCTGCATTAGAGGGACACTATGGGAAACACTGTTCAGATGGGAGCTAAGGCTTCGGTCAGTAAGCCAGGGAGCCTATCTTTTAAGAACCAAGGGAGGATGCCAGGCGGTGGTGGCACATGCCTTTAATCCCAGCACTCAGGAGGCAGAGGCAGGCAAATCTCTGTGAGTCTGAGACCAACCTGGTCTACAGAGTGAGTTCCAGGTCAGCCAGGGCTGTTTCACAGAAAAATCCAACAACAACAACAAAAAATCAAGGAAGGTTTTTTTTTTTGTTGTTTTTGTTTTTCTGTTTTGTTTTGTTTTTCAATTCTTAGGAGCAATAAAAGTTAATCTGCAGCTATACAGATCATTGATTTTTGCCCAGGTTATATTTTCTCCCCTGATACACATTTTGGATAAACCTCTTATATTCTTCCTGCAAGATTTGGGGTGGGAGCAATTAAGGACATAGCGTTATTTTGTCAGGAAACAATTCCTTTTATAAGGAAGTAATTTCTCCTATGTTAATTATTTTGAAGGATAAAGCAGATTCCTAAACTACAGAGCAATTTTGGTTGTGAATACACATTCCAAAACCCAGAATAAGACAGAAGCAAATTGAACTTGGCACACTATAAGCTTGCAGTTTTAACTGGGATGAAAGTATACTTGAATATTAGGAAATGTATTAACAAGAATATTATGGCCACTTAAGAAAATCTTTTAGCTGTATCTCATTATATGTTGAAAGGTTAATCTAATATTTCACATCAACACAGGGTTCTTTAGAAATTTAGAACAAAATTATGCACTTGGCAGAAAAGTGGTTTGACCTGGACCAGCAGGTCATTCTTCAGTGACAGGTTCCTGAGAAAGAACCAGGGGATGAGGAGTAATAAAGAAAACAGGAAAGCTGAGGTCAAGAGGTCTTGCACAAACAAGTTTATTAAGAAGTACAGCATCTTATATACAGTTTGCGAGGCGTAGGGAAGAGTCAGCAGAAGCCATTGTACAACAGGGTGACGTCAGCAGGAAGCTAGTCAAGTCACATTGCACAAAGGGAGCACAGGACGTCTCAAGTGCATCCCAGACTGAGTGCTCAGAAACTCAGGACTGATAATTCCAGTCTCTTCTTCGGGGGGAAAGTCACGTTCCTAGGAACTTTGAGGCCCAGACCTTGCCAAGCCCACCCTTGGGCAAAGACCCAGAACTTGGGTTCTCTTCTTTCCTCAGAGTCTCTGAGAAAGCTTTGGGTTGGCCTGGCTCCCAACAGTGGGTGGATCTGCAGATCAGATGAAGTGAAATAAGACAAATTTCTCCTATTTTCCCTCATGTGTAGAATCTAAATAAAAAAAAATAATAATAACATAAAAGCATAAGTGGGAGGATTGGGAAAGATGAAGGGAACCAGCAAGAATGAGGCTCAAGAGAGGATGCGGGGAGGTGGATCTGATCAAACTGTACAATATGAATGTATGAAAATATCATAACTCTCAATACTTGAGAATTTAAAAAAAGGAACTTGAGGGGCTGTAATCAGCTCAGCAGGTAAGAGCATCTCTTGTTCTTCCAGAGGACCAGAGTTTAGTTCCTAGCACTCATGTTTAGCAGTTCCCAATTGCCTGTAACTCCAGCTCCAGAGGACCCAGTGCCTTCTTCAGCATCTATCCACAAGTCCTGCACTCATATGCACATGCCCCCCCACACACACACACAAAGAAAAAAAAGGAAAAAAAAGGAAAACATCTCGAAAAGTACAATTCTCAAGAAGATAAATATGCAATATTATCTTTATTTAACATTGAAGGTATCCCCCTTAAAATAAGACTGGAATAAATGAACAGCGTTGTTAAAAAAAAACTAGATAATGGAATAAAAGTATGGACCAAAGATTTGAGATTATAACAGTAGAAAAAGGTGAGAAAAATCATGATTATTATCAAGGTTGCATATGTATAAACATCATGAGAAAGTTAATGAAGGAAATGGTTGACTACAGATAAATATCCCCAGATTCAGACCTAAACAACAGATAGACAATAATCCATTATGGGATATAATGGGGGGAAACCCATTTATAAAAACAGGAGAAATTTTCAAGTGGGTAGAATAAATTTAACAACAAAACCGTGAGAACCACACAAACAAAATCATAGAATTTTACCAAAAGATTTAAAAGTTGGGTATATGGAAACATATATTCTTAAACGGAAATGTGAATATTTGAAGATATCTACTGTAATTTGAATGTGAAATGTCCCCTGTAAGCTCATATGTGTGAACACTTGGTCCCTGCTGAGGGGTGGGCTCTAGATAGAACTTCTCCGGTGGAAGTGGGTCAGAGGTTGGACTGGGTACTTGAAGTGTTTTAGCCTGGTCCCACTTCCTGTCTGCTCTTGCTTCCTGACTAAGGACACAATGTGACCAGCAGCTCACCCTCTTGCCAGGATGCCTTCCCTACCATGAAGGCTGTATCCCTTCAAACGCTAAGTCAAAGAAATCTTTCTTCTTTAAGTTGCTTTGTAGTCTATTACAGCAACCAGCACATCATCTTTCCAAAGTTATGGTTTAACAAGGCACAAGCTCAAAGGAATTTGGGGAGATACTATTGCACTGAGTAGAAGAGTGCTCAGATCAAAAAGAATTAGGCCTGAGTTGTTCAGGCCTTGGGGGTGGGGTGGTAAAAGCATGAATATGTTCTCCCCTAAACATAAAGATGCAATAATTAACTCCATTTGATACTAGCCTAAAACAGTTTGCAATACCAATGCAGTATAATATTTGGCCAAAACAGGCATGAAAACACAAGGACGGTACAAAGATGAACTGCTCAAATAAGGAAGAACCAATAGGTTAGTTCTTTGAGGGAGAAAAGTGAGTCCATCTCCTTGTTTCATTAGTTTTTACCAAAATAAGTTTCAAATGTTCATTATAAAATCATTAAATGCTAGATTAAAAATGAAGTAACTATTTTTCAAACCTATTGATCAGTGAGAAATTTCTAAGTTCAATATCAAAGGTAAATGAACATAAATATTGTAATTCATGGCATGGGTGCTTCCAAAGATACTTTGGAAAATTTGTTTATATTACATGGCAAGAAAAGGGCAAAGCCAGAAAGAAAGTTGAAAACATTTGCAACAAATCTGAGAAAAACTGATAACCTAAATAGCCCCACTTTTACACAAATCACTAAGGGAAAAATAAGGCCCCATTAGGTAAATGAATAAACAAAATAATGTGAAATTCTAAACTACAACAGAGGAACTATAAAGAGTTATAAACAAGTATTTAATTTCACCAATATGCAGCAAAATATAATTTAAGTTCATAATATGTTGTTCCTTATTAAAATGTTTTAAGTGAAATTATTTATGAATTGACACCATATTTTTTTTTCTTTAGGGGCTTAAATCAATAAAAAAATCAATAGAATGACAATTATTTCTTAAGGAAAGAAGCCCAAATAAGGTCAAATATAAGCCTTCCATGATGCTGGAAGTGAGTTGTACTTGGTTTCTGAAACATTCGGTGCCCAACAGCAAAAGGAACATCTAACTATGGGACTTCATCAGACTGTACATGCCTGTTGATTACAGAAGGCACTGTCTTAGTTACTTTACCTGTAGCTCTGATGAAATACGCTGACAAACGCAACTTGAAGGAGAAAGGGTTTATTTTGGCTCTCAGTCTGCGGTTACAGTCTGTCACACCAGGGGAGTCACAGCAGCAGGAGCGGGAGGCAGCCGGTCACATTGCTTCCGCAGTCAGGAAGCAGGGAGTGATGAATGCTTGTGTTCAGCTTGCTTTATCCTTTTTACACAACCCAGGATCCTAGCTCAGGGAATGGCACCTCCCACACTGGGCAGTTCCTCCTACCTCAGTTAAACCTATCAATCTATAATCAATCTATAATCTCCCACAGGCATGCCTAGCAGCTTGTCTCTCAAGTGATCCTAGACCCCAGCTTCTTGACAGTTGAGGCCAACTATCTCTGGTACCATTTTCTTTGACAGTAAAATTCTTCGCTGTTTTTGTTACACAATTTTTTATTTTATTTTTTGATACTATAATTACATTTCTTCCTATCTTTCCTCCAATATTCCCCTCCTCACTCTCCTTCAAATTCATGTCCCATTTTACTCATTGTGATTGCATGTATATACATACGTGCATATACATAGTTATTCCTAAATATAACCTGCTCAGTCCATGTACTATTACTTGTAAGTATGTTTTCAGGGCTGATTGGCACTGGACAACCAATTGGTGTGTTCTTTCCTGGAGAAGACCACCTCTCCTGCTCCCAAATTTCCTCAGCTATAGTTCTTTGTATAGGGTTGATAGCTCATTGGTTTTCCCCAGTCCACTTTGGTGTATCTATTGGCATCATCCTTGTTTAGCTCATGTTTGAGTAGTCATGTTGGTGAAGTTTTATGGGTGTAGCCTTGCTGACATTACTAGGAGACACAATCTCAAAGCACAGTCCCTGCTCCTCTGGCACTCACAATCATCCTGACACACACCTCTTCTTCCACAATGTTCCCTGAGTCTTAAGTATGGGAGTGTTTTGTAGATGTATCCACTGGGACTGGACTCCACAACTCTGCTTTTTGACTAGTTGTGGTTTTCTGTGATGGTCTCCATCACCTGTTACAATGAGAAGCTTCCTTGATGAAGGCTGAAGATTACACTTACCTGTGGGTATAAGGGTCTATACATTGTTGTTATAGATTATGCTAATTTAGTTGTAGATTCCCCTCCAATAACCGTGATTTCCCCAGCCCTGAGAAGTTGTCTAGGTTTCCAGTACCAGGCATGATTTCTCTCTTGTTGAGTGAGTCTTAAGTCCTATTAGAGCGTTGTTGGTTACTGCCAAGGTCTGTGTGCCACTGCAGCACCTTTAGGGTCATTGTGCCATGCTGGTCATTGTTGTGGTTCATAGACAACACAGCTGGGTAGGATTGTTGGTTGGCTTCCTTCTTCAGAAGCTTGCATGGAACTTTCTAGCACCATGAAAACTATTCCTCAGGAAGGGGTCATTCAGGTCAATTCTAGCTCAGAGATCTCTGGGTCCTGTTTCTGAAGTACATGGTGTCTTCAGCAATAGGGACTTACCTTCCACCTCTGGGGGCAACCAAGGGCAATAGTAATAGTCTGTATGTTTGGGGAGTCTTTTAGACAGCCCTGGTCAACAACCCAAAAGAGGGCTTCTTGTGTCTGGTATTGGGGGTTTTGGTAGGTAGTCTTTGACTCTTGGAAGGAGTACCATTAGCCCAGGTGAAAAAAATTCATTAAAACTACATATATTTTGACATTATATGTATTATAGGGTTTGATGGTTGGTTGGTTTTTTTTCTTAATAGTTAATCATATGATTTCTTGTGGCTTTTTTTAGATATCCTTATTGTTATTTTACCCACCTCCCCCCTCCTTTTATATTTGATCCCTACCCCTCCCTAAAGAGCCCCCCATTTTCCATTTCCCCTATTGGATTGCTTGTATCCTGCTGTCTGCCCCCTTTACCCTCTTCCCACCTTCTTCTGTATTTTAAGGGTCACTTAGTAACAAGAGTGACCAGGTCCTCAACTAACCCGGAGTGCTGTGTGTGGCTCTTTGATGCTGCATCCTTCCATGTGAGCCACAATTTGGTCATTTTTGAAATCAGAAAGGAGTGAATAAAATGAGACCAGGCAGAGCACTGGCTATGGACACTTCAGTTTGTCCCCTGATTGTGACTCAAATGGGCTGCATCATTTAGGGTGGCTGAGGAGGAAATTTGCAGTCTACTGTTGAGTGCAGTAATGCCCCCTTTCAGAGCCCATGATGTTGCTGGAATCCTAAATGATCTTATAATAAAACCCAGAGCCAGATATTGGGGTAAATGCTGAAAGATCAGAAAGACAAAAGAACAAGCCACAGCCACTTCTCACCTCGTCAACTCCTCACTCAGCTGATCCTGTCTCCATGAATCCTCAAACTGAAAGCCTCTGAGTCCTCAGCCAAAAAGGTCTCTTGTTCCTGTCTCCTCACACCTTCTATGCCTTTCTCCGCCCAGCCATTTCACTTCCTATCTCAACCTTCCTAGTGCTGGGATTAATGGCCTGTGTGCTTTCCAAATACTGGGGTTAAAGGTATGTGCCACCACTGCCTGGCTCTGTTTCTCTCCTAGACTGGATCAATCTCATGCAGCCCAGTGTGGCCTTGGACTCACAGAGATCCAGACAGATCTCTCTGCCTCTCGAGTGCTAGGATTAAAGGTGTGTGTCACCACTGTCTGACCTCTGTGTTTAACTCTGTGGCTGGCTCTGTCCTCTGATCTTCAGGCAAGCTTTATTAGAGTAAACAAAATTCCACCACTGAGGTGGAACCTCCGGAACAGGAAGTGCAACCATAAACCTGTCCAAGACAGTGCTGTGTTACAACAGCATGAAACGGTAACATGTTAAACATCTATGAATAGAAGAGCAGCTCAGAACACATGGTGTGCCTGAGTGACAAAATACACATCTGTTAACATGTTACTAGCAAAGAGCTTCTAACAACAAGGAGATCATGAAATTGTATTAGGAGAAAAACTCTAGGGCATGACACTGTGTGTGCAGTACCGCCTCCACTACAGTCACTCCATGCAATCAGACACAATGAGTTAAGAATCTGAGGCTGTAGATTACTTCCTATTTCTCTGTGCTATTAATCAAAATGAGATATTTATTTTAAATGCAGAGAATACTTTTTGACTCACAATGCAGAGACAGTTACCTGATAGGTGTAGTCACGACGCTTAGTGTGCCCAGCTGCACACATTCTGTCTTCACACATGAAGGGCGGGGACAAGAACTCTTCTTGTCTTGGAATGCTAAAGTTTTCTGGCCTGCTGCCGTCTCTTGCCTTGTCAGTAGTCTAGCCCAGAGAATTTCAGGTGGAACATCTAAAAAGATTTTTTATTCTTCATAGTTAGTTGAGTAACGTATTCAGGGAAAACTCTGTCGGGCAAGGGTATTATGACATTTTAAAAACCATCACTGTTCCTTACTGTCTGACGTTACCCACACTAAAAACTCAGATCAGTGTTTAGGTTCTGCTCAAAGTCATGTCTTTGTGTTGCACGCCACAATTCTGGAGAGCCAAAAGGCAGAGATTTTTCTTTCCCTGGTGACGTTGAAAGTGTAATATTAAATAAGTCTACCAGCAATAACAAAAACAAACCACACACCAAAGACAGCAATAAGCTACAAGATTCATTTCCCTTTTAACATTTTTCTTTCAGATCTGATATTTTTGAGGAAAAAAAGGAAGATAAATAGCTTTCTGTGATGTTCCTTTGATTATTCATCAGTACACCATGCTTTGAATTTAGTTGTATTTGATCTTAAAATCACTTTCAAATAGGAAAGGCAACAGTTAAAACATGTTGATGTTTCCAGGACAGTGATTATTAAAAGAGGGTAGGTTCGTTCCAACCTTCTGGATATCTTGAGCCAGTTCCTGCCTAGGCACAAACATGTCTTCTCTATGAGGGACTGGCAAAGGAAAGTGAAGAGCGGGCCCTTTGTTGAGACCTAAATTAGCAATGCCCAGTGCCATGACTACGGTACAGCACAACCCCCCGGCACAGCCCGCTGTTCACACAGCACGTCGGATGTGCAGATTGTTTATTCTTTTCTCTGCCCAGGGTGCTGGTTCATGCTCAGTTTGTTTGCCACGCTCACCTTTGGAAGGGGCTCCTTCACACTGGGGAGGGGGGGTCCCTGTTAAAGCACAGCTTCTAAGTCATCCAGGAACTGAGCAGTGAGAAGGGCCTCACCTGGAGATTCAGAATCTCCTCCAGCCCCTGTTCACAGTGCTGTTCATTTTCCTTCCATGCTCTTCCACAGTGAGACTTGCTATTATTATTGTTCAGTAGACAACACAGTAGTGTAGAGTGAGGATTGTCACCTCATCGTATGTTTATGTCAGCACATCTCAGGCTCTTCCTCAACTCCAGCCTTTTATTGTTGCTAGTTCCTCCTGCTCCTCCTCTCCCTCCTCCCCCTTTTCCTCCTCCTCCCTCCCTCCTTCTCCCCCATCTCCCCCCTCCCTCCTCCTCTTCCTCATCTCATTTAATGTATGTTTTGGTCAACAAAGCTCACAGACACCTGGGGTATATCTGCCTCCCTTTTCTGAATTGCTTGAAGGGTAAAACAGAAGTATTGAAAAGTTACTTAGGGCTGGCCAGAAGTCTCAGAACCTTTCTGAGACAAGGTACCTTTCCCTTTCCCAGGCAACTGCAACCAGTGTGATGACTTGAGTGTGATGCCTGGGACCCACATGATGGAAGTAGAGAACAAATTTTCATAATTTGTCCCTTTACCTCAACATGCAACCATAGTGCATATGAACACAATCATAAATAAATGTAATAAGAATCTTAAAAATTGTTTGTACCATTTCAGACAGATTTTAAACATTCGAAGTTAAATAAGAAGAATAAGGTGATTAAAATCAAATGCAAGTGTCTAACAAAGTTATAAAATTGTAGTGCTGAATAAAAAATGTCTTATAAAAAGAAAACTCCACCAGCATCTCTCAGTGTATTCTTAGTTGTAAACAAGAATGCAAGACAATTCAATCAGAAGGAATCTGTGAAAATAGGTGATGTCTACACAATGCAGTATTACTCAGGTGTAAAAAAAACAATGACATCATGAAATTTGCAGTCAAATGGATGGAACTAGAAAATATCATCCTGAGTGAGGTAACCAAGACTCAGAAGGAAAAACATAGTACGTACTCACTCATAAGTGGATACCTGATGTAAAGCAAAGGATAACCAGACTACAACCCACAGCTAGCTAACAAGAATGACCATAAGAGGGACACATGAATCGCCCTGGGAAGGGGAAATAGATGAGATCTCCATGAGTAAACTGGGGATGAAGGGGCAATAGAGGGTAGGGGATGGGGGATGAGAACATAAGGAAGTGAGATGATCGAGCTGGAACAGGGATGGAGTGGGAGAGCAATGAAAGAGATACCATGATAGAGGGAGACATCATGGGGATAGGGAGAAACCCATTGCTAGGGAAGTTCTCAGGAATCCACAAGGATGACCCCAGCTTAGACTACTAGCAATAGTGGAGAGGATGCCTGAATGACTTACCCCAGTAATTAGGTTGGAGAATAACCTAACTGTCATCATAGAGCCTTCATCCAGTAACTGATGGAAGCAGATGCAGAGATTCACAGCCAAGCACCAGGCTGAGCCCCAGGAGTCCAGTCAAAGAGAGAGAAGAGGGATTCTATGAGCAAGGGGCATCAAGATCATGATGCAGAAACCTACAGAGTCAATGAAACCAAACTAGTGGGAACTCATGACCTTTAGACCAACAGCTATGGAGCCTGTATGGGACTGGACTAGGCTCTCTGCATAAGTGAGACAGTTGTGCAGCTTGATCTGCTTAAGGGCCCTGTAAGACAAATTGCTAAACAGTCTTATTAATAAAAAACCCAGAGCCAGATATTGGGTTGAAAACTGAGAGATCAGAGAAGCAGAAAGAAGCCAGCCACGTTCTTACTACTAGGAAATCCTCAGCCAAAGAAAGAGCCACTTCCTGTATACTCATGCCTACGTCCTTTCTGTACCCTGCCATCTCACTTCCTCTCTCTGCCCAGCTACATCACTTCCTCTTTCTGCCCAGCTCTATCACTTCCTGTCTGTCTGTACAGACCTCCAGACTCTATGGTTAACTAGTGCTGGTGATGTCACGTCCAAGATCTCTGGGAGGATCACAGTGACAGGCTTAGAGCAGGCACTTAGGATCACCAACAGTGAGCACTGGCACTCCACCACTGATAGAAATCTAGACCTTCGCCTCCACCACATCTTTTCTTACCTTCATCAGTACCTGACTCTGCTTTCCCGTGCTGTCTTCTGAATCAGAGCTTGTCAAGAAGGCATCCTGGGTTTGGACATACCTAGGGCACAAGCCTAAGCCTTTGCTTAAAGAAAACTGGGAACACTCTTCTAGCTTCTCCCTAAGAAAGACGGACCACAAAATGTATGGAATCTCAGAAATGCATGGCCCAGGAGAGCAAGCTGAAGACGAAACAATCCCCGGCCTCCAGGAAGAAGACGGTTCCACTTTCACACTGGATTAAAAGTCCACACACAATAGTTCACAGACAAATTTTGCTTGCCAGTATAAGTAAGGTCTGTATTTTACTAGCTGGGGTGAGATGTTTGTGAGGTCGGCCAAAGTACGAAGGCCGTGCATACTGTTGTGGGAGGAAGTTTGACATGGCATGCAAAGAAACACACTCTTTACTTCCATGTCAGGGAAACCCGAAGTTCTCCACACCTCTATAAGACCTTACTGGGGTTTAATTAAAAGCATCCCCAGTGACCTGGAAGATTGGCATGATGAGAAATGCGATATACTTCTCATCCTTTTTTCTTCAGGTTGACAGGCCTGGGTCTTGGTCTTCAATAAGGAGCCGTTCCTAATTCTCACATAGGCTTTTCACCCCAGGTCCCCAGAGCGGACAGCAATAATGGAAATGGAACACAGGAAAATCACATAGAGCTTTTATCTTCAAGAACAACCAGACCCTCATCCTCAAGTTCATCCTCTGTCCCAGCTTTCTGCTGCTCTCAAAATCCCATCAAACAAAGTTCTTATTAGATAAAGATGGCAACAGGTTTTATGAATGCTTCAGAGAGCAACAAGCTCCTACTCTCAGAAATGGAAGAGAATTCAGAAAACATTTCAACCATTTCAGTTAAAATTCATCCCGTTTTGTTCTACTGATAGGGTAAAAATATGAGATAAAAATATACACAGCTCCCTCTGAAGAAACTGTCATTTTGCACTTGACACAGACATCATTCTGATGGTTACCTGATCCCTGTTCATAATTCTCCTAATGTATGGTTATTTCAAAATGCCCATTGCAGAATGCTTTAAGTGAATGAATACAGAAGTAGCATGAAGTTTGGGGGCAGGTTTCCTTATATACTACATATTCTATATAACTGTGTATAGATAACAGGGCTTCAATACGTGAGTAATTTCTCAATCTCCAAAAATAACAGTACAAAGAGGAGAGGTCCTGCGACTTTCCACATTTATATATAACTCTGAATTTGTTCAGAATACAGAATTTGGGGTAGAAGGAGAAAGGAATCTCATCTCCATTCTGACATGAAGATTTCTAGACTAAACTGGATGTTCCTTGTTGGAATAAAAAGGCTTTAAGAAACTGTTAGGAATAAACAGTATGAAGAAATAATCTTAATTATTTGATTTTGATAAAATAGTAGAAAGAGTTGTATAGTTTAATGTTCAATAAGTTGGAATATTTGTGATCACTTAAGAACATTGGAAATGATCGAATATATTTGTGTATAGCATTCCAAACGTGAATAGATGCATAATATCACAGTAGAATATTACAAAGAAGTATCATGGAAATTTTACAAAATCTAAATGTATTTAGTATTCTGAAATAATAATAAAGTATTTTTCTATAAATATATATATATATATATATATATATAAAGATTTATTTTTTAATTTTATATGTGGGGATGTTTTACCCATGTGTTTGTGTACCAAGTGCACACAGTACCCTCAGAAGACAGAAGAAGGAATTGGATCCTATAGCTAGAGTTTTCCTGCCTGGCCCACAGTCAGGACAAATCTCTCTTACCTGCCAGTCCCACAGCCACTCAGACCCGACCAAGTAAACACAGAGACTTATATTGGTTACAAACTGTATGGCCGTACCAGGCTTCTTGCTAACTGTTCATACAGCTTAAATTAATCCATTTCTATAAATCTATACCTTGCCACGTGGCTCATGGCTTACCGGCATCTTCACATGCTGTTTGTCATGGTGGCGGCTGGCAGTGTCTCTGACTCAGCCTTCCACTTTCCAACTTTATTCTCCTCCTTGTCCCATCTATACTTCCTGCCTGGCCACTGGCCAATCAGTGATTTATTTATTGACCAATCAGAGCAACACATTTGCCATACAGAACATCCCACAGCAGGATCCTTTAGAACTGGAGTTACATATAGTTGTGAAACACCATGTGGATGCTGGGAACCGAATCCAAGTCCTCTACAAGGGTAACAAGTGTTCTTAACTATTGAGCCATCTCTCCAGCCTCTCAGAATTTATATTTTAAAGAATGATCAATTTGCTTTGTTATACTAATTTCAAGTTTTGACTAATAGTCACATTCATATTATAAGGCAAATGATCTCTCAATTCATTCTGCTCCAAATTTAATGTTGTAATTATGAAGAAATAGTGTTGAGCGGTTGTTGGAACATTTTCCCTTCATCTCTTAAGAAATCTTTATTCTATGTCTGTATTCTAAAAAGCAGTTAAAAGTATATCTACGCCAATACTGGTTTTTCTATTCTAAGCTGTTGCTCCATAGAAATGAGAGTTGTGACAGTTGAAACAAATACACCTGACTTTGTTCTGGGACGACTTTTAGTGAGAAAGAAAGGGTTAAAAAGGATATGATTAGATTACAGGTTAGATTGGGTACCCTGGTAGTCAAGCAATAATGAGTTCATTCCAGGGCATGTGGGGACATTTGGTATACCCCAAGGTGGATCAGAGATCTGAAATGGGTTTTACGTGGAAGAAGGCGTCATTCTCCTATCACACACAGCTAGATAACAGCTGACCTACTCACAGTTGCTTCAAATGAGACATCTCAGTCATGGGTGTTGGAGGGCTTTGCTGGGTACCTGTCCTCTCTCCGGAGCCCATTCCTCTTTGCACCTGCTTCCTTGGCGTTAGCCCAGGTAGAATGTCTTGATCTAGATAGATTTATCAAATACAGAAATGAAATCAAGAAGAGAAATGCAATGTGCCATAACAGCTTCTCTGTGTAGAATAAGCATTAGCTACACTTAAAAGAAACATTCTCCCTAAAATAAAGATAGGGCCATCAAGTCATTCCTATAAAATGTCACTCTGTGGAAGGACACAGGAAAGGACATTACTAGATAATTCAGGTGGCTTGTAAATACTAGCCCCATTTCAAGGAGATGTGGTTTTCTGTTGGTCATAATTTTCCATGTTGGCTTTGAGCATGGTCACAGTGTCCAGTTGGTGTGACCTTGGTTTCATGTACACAAACTGTTGTTAATAATAGTTGCAGCCAGTTACGTTGCTCTGTACTTTCTAGTCCCTAATACAGAATCCCTAAGCAGTAGGCACTGGTATGCACTTTGAATTACAAAACTGAGTCTAGGAGATTAAATAGCTTGTTCAAGGTCACATGTCAGCATCACCCAAAGTTAAAACTATCATATGCAGTATCTATGTTGCAACTCTGGTTATAATATAACATTAACTTTGTTTTTATATTACTTCTCATGTCAAAGTAACTATTAGTTACTAGTGATTTCCATTTCTAGAGTAACTTAACACGCAATGTTAGGTTTAATACTCATCACGGACAATAAGCTGTGTAGAGCAGAAACTGGGATCTTGTTTGTGAATAGGGGAAATTGAAACTCACTAGTCAAACTGTGTGGATCCAGAATCCAGTGGTCTTTTCAAAACACACACCCTACAAAGCTCGTTTTAAAATAACCTGCACCCCCAAAGGCAATACAGGAACAATTGAGAAATTTGTAAAGTAATTCGGTCAGTCAAGTTCTTGCTGTGCCAGCATAAGAAACTATGTATAAGGCCCAGAACTCATGTAAAGAAGCTGGACATGGTGGTCCATACTGGCAACCCCAGCACTGGGAGGTGGACCCCCGGCATTGCCTAGCAGGCAAACCTTGCCTTCTTGAGAGTTTCAATCCAATGAGAGATTCTGTCTCCAAAAGAAAGAAAGAGAGAGAGAGAGAGGGAGGGAGGGAGGGAGGGAGGGAGGGAGGGAGGGAGGGAGGGAGAGAGAGAGAGAGAGAGAGAGAGAGAGAGAGAAAGAAAGAAAGAAAGAAAGAAAGAAAGAAAGAAAGAAAGAAAGAAAGAAAGAAAGAAAGGAAAAGAAAGAAAGAGTTGAACAGTGCCTGAAGAATGACACAAATGTCACTGGAGCATGTCCTGTGGCCTCCACATGCATAGCCGCTAACACACCTGCACACACACATATGAGCTTATGTACAGGTGCACACACACAAAGAGGTTACTTGAAAACAAAAGGAAACAAAACCAAACCACAATCCACTATGAATGTGTGCACAGCAATAGCTCCAGACAAGAAGGAGTAACCAATTCTTTTCTTTTCTTTTTCATTACAAGGGACAAAGTCATAGTAGAAGTATTCCCAACAAAATGATTGTGGATGAAAACATTGCATCTGACTGGTGTTGCTCAGACAGGAACAGCTCAAGCTCACAATGTCACACATTAATTGATTAACTTTCTCTCAGTCTGTGACAACAAGTTGACAGATAGGTAACTCCAGAACCACAGGATCAGAATATCTTCTATTTGATCTGATGGCTGGGACATTCTGAACTAAAAACATATTTCTCTTATTTCAACTCCAGAGACCAGCATTGCATCGCAGAGCTTGTGTCAATCAAGGAATTGAACAATGTGACATAGACTTGTGACCTAAAAGGTTAAGCTGAAAAGATACATAATATCTGAAAAAAGGGATAGTTATCTTAGGATGCTTTAGGGCAAAATGGAATCCTTTGGGTGTACTCAAGAGACAACTCATATGTTACTTCTTTTTGAAGTTTTAAAAAGAAACCACTGTAACCAGAAGTTTCTTGGTCCCACCCGGCCCCACAGTCCCGCAGACGCTTGCAAAATAATCACTCCAAAGCTTATATTAATTACAAACTGTATGGCCTATGACTTCAGCTTCTGGATAGCTAACTCTTTCATCTTAAATTAACCCATTCCTATTAATCTATATGTTGCCACAAGTTCATGGCATTACTGGTCTGCTGGCATCTTGTTGCTCCTTCAGCGGTGGCTGGCATCTCTCCCCACTCCATCCTTCTTCTCTCTGTATCTCTGCTTGGATTTCCTGCCTGGCTGTAAGCTTTCTTGCTATAGGCCAAAACAGCTTTATTTATTATCCAATGGGAGCTACACATACTCACAGCATACAGAAGGAAATCCCACAACAAACCACCACATTGATTTCCAGAGGTTCCCTTTACAGTCACCCCAGCAGTAAGTAAGGGATGACTGTAACATAACGTCCTCTTTCCCCATAACATCCTCATCAGCATTGGTTGTAATCCTTGGTGTTAAATTTTCATTGGCATGAGACAGAATCTCAAAGTAATTTTAATTTTCATTTCCCTTTTGACTGAAGATGTTAACCACTTGGTCAAATATTTATTGGCTGTTTGTGTTTCTTCTTCTGAGAACCGTGTCTCCTCAGTGCATCAGCCCATTTCTTGACGGAAAGACTTTTTGGTAATTCCTTTTCTAATCCCTTCCACACCTGTCTGGTGTAACGGGTAAAGATTTTCTTCTGTTCTGTAAGCTGTTCCTTTACCTTTTGCTCTGCTTTTTAGTTTAATGTAACCCCACGGGTCACTTCTTGGCTTATTTGCTGTTGCCATGGAGTCCTTCTCAAACCGTTTTTGCCTGTGCCTTCTCTCTTGAAGTGTCCTCCGCTTCCATCTAACAACTTCAAAGCCTTTGATGCAGTTTGAATTGATTTCTGAAGGGTAAAATAAACAGATCTAACTTCATTTTCAACATGCAGACATCCAGTGTCCCCAGGATCGTGTGTTGAAGAGACTTTTTTCTAATGATGTTTTTCACACTTTTGTTCATTTGTTTGTTTGTCTTTTAAAGTGGCAGTAGCTACATGCATTTATTTCTGGTCCTCTATTTATTCCATTGGCCTACATATTTGTCTTTGTCCCGCTAACATTCTGTCTTTGTCACTGTGGTTCTCGCAGTATAATTCTGTACTAAGCATGAATTCCCTCCTGTGAAGTAAACCACAAATCCAACCAGAATGCTTAGTTACCTTCGTAAACTTCATGCCCTACTAAACCAAAAGGCACAGTAGCCTAGCAGCTCAGTTCTGTAGTATTTGGGGTTGTTTCAGTCAGGGTTTCTATCGCTGTGATAAAATATAAGCAACTTGAGGAAGAGAGATGTAGGGCAGGAACCTGAAGGCAGAAACTGTTGCAGAGGGTATGGAGTGCTGCTTATTGCCTTGCTCCCCTGGGTTTGCTCAGCTTTCTCATAGCTCCCAGGAATACCAGTCCAGGGGTGGTACCACCCACAGTGAGCTGGGCCTTCCCACATCAATTAAGAAAATGTATGATAGCTTGCCCATAAGCCAAATTGGTGGGACTATTTTCTTAACTGAAGTTCGCTCTTCCCAATCAACTCTGGCTTGTGTCAAGTTGATATGAAACTTTGCCAGCATAAGGGTACACTGCTAGCTAATGCCACTGATAATTTTCTCCCAGAGTGCCCACATAGCATCTTCTGGCACTGGGAAAGCTAACCAGCAGAGGGAAGGCTTTCAGGCCAGTTCCAGTTTGATTTCTCTATCTTGCAACCAAAGAGTGTTGCGTCTTCAGCAATAGGGTATTGCCCTCTCGTTACGGTAAACAGGAAAGCAAAGGCAGCAGTCTGTGTTGTTTGGGGGCCTCTGGGGCCTCCCTGAACAATAACTGCTAGGGAGGTATCTCATTCCTTGCACTGGATCCTCACATAATATCCCTTATCTTATTGGGGTAATTTCATCTGATTCTAAGAATTTTAAAATTTCTTCTGATTGTTCATTCAGATGTATAGTGTGCAGTCAGCTGTTTCCCACATTTTTAAAAATTATTTATTTAGTGTGTGTGTGTGTGTGTGCATGTGCATGCGTGTGTGTGTGTGTGTGTGTGTGTGTGTGTGTGTGTGTGTGTGTGTAATATAACTTGTTCAATCCATATAATCTTACTTGTATATACATTTTCAAGGCTGACCATTTGGTATTGGATAACCAGTTGATGCTGTCTTCCCTGGGGAAGACTATTTCTCCTGTTTAGCATTCCTTAGTTGCCTGTAGTTCTTTGTGAAGGATTAAGACCTCGTGGTCTTCCCTTGATCACCCCTCTGCCCTGACCAGGTTAGTGTGTCTGTTGGTGTCAACCTCGTCCATGTCTAGGCAGCCATGCTGGGGCGACTTTACGATTGTAGCTCCTGACATTTCTAAGGGACACAGTTTGACAGCGAACTTCCTGATCCTCTGGGAACAATCTTTCTACCCTTTCAGTGTTCCCTGAGGTGTGTCATCCATCCCTCTTACAAAATCTTGTCTTTCCTGTGCTCCTGCAAGTGAGATTGCTTTCCCTTCCACTGTGTACACTTTCCTTTAAGAGTCTTCTCTGGTGCTAGCTTGATCATCATGAAGACGACTCAGTGGGCCAGAGAAATTGTAGCTGGCAGTTAGCTACTTTCCTTGTTAGGATGCATCATTCCATGCTGTCCTGGCTTTGGGGGATGCTGGTGAGGGGTCTGATGTTATCCTGATGTTTGCCTTTGTAGAATTGGTGTTCCCTCTTCTGTTACTTTCAATACTGTTTCTTAGCTTTGTATGCTGACACCTTGATGACTACATCACAGACTGGTTCTTCTTGAGACATCTGTTTGGAGCATAAATGAATGCTTCTTGTGTTTGGTTGTCCATTTTTTTCTCTATGTTTGGCATATTTTCTGCCAAGTTTTCATGAATAAAACTTTTGTCCCTTTAGACTTTATTTAATTTCCTCTTTTATCCCCCCCCCCCCCCAATACACACACTCCTTGGATTCTTAGGTTTGGTCTCTCCATTATGTCCCAGAGGTCTTGGAAGTTTTAGTCGTGCTCATTCATTTTTAATATT